TAGATAATTTTACAGACGCTTCTCAGGCATAATACTGCCAGTACCGTCTCAGTTCATCTCTCTCAACTTGCCGTAGTTACTTTCGAGCGTAATGGGCGATCTCGCAATCGCTAGTTTGTTGGCTCTGTGCTGCCGTAGCGCAAAGATGTCTGCCTCCATGGCTGCGAGACCCGCCCTTACGTAATTATAAATAATGAATTCTAAGGCAACGCAAATATTAAGGTTAAGAGGCTGAGCTCGTAGATGATAATAAATAACATAGTTATGCATAATATATTACATTTCTGACTGTATATCCCTGAAATTATTACACACTGTAGCTTTAAATACTCTGGACTCTATTGCCAATCTGAGCCCGCCTTGGGAGAGGTTAAGTGCGGCTGCCCAAATTGAGCAGATTCTCCTCTCTAAATCCACATTCATTTCTCCCCCAGTGTTATCTGAACTGTTCGAAGAGTTGGAGTGGAACCATTTAACAGCCAGCGCCCAACTCTTCAACAGACCTGCACCACCCGAACCATCATTCCATCACCTTCCCACTCTGTTGTCAATCGCCTCCGACCCGGTTCCTCCACCATCACTAGCTGTTGGTCAGCCTGACACCTCCACTTCCTCTCCGGTGGGTCAGCCTGACGCCAGTTTCAGTTCCCCTCTTAACCAGGTCAGTTTCCCCTATGGCTTAGGTCGTCACCTCCATGACCAGCAGCTAGGTTCACGAGTTAGAGGTTTTAGATCTGTACCCATGATGACACCTGATGCAGTCAGAGCTCCCGCTATATAGGAGTCTCAGTTATGGGACTTCTTTTATGGGCAAAGGGAAGATCTATTTCCCTTCCTACCACCTCCATCAGCTCCCCACCAGCCAGCACTTCCCGAGCCAGAGCCCTTTAGCGGGCCAGATCCCAAGCCCTTTAAAGGGCCAAGTCCAGAGACCCATTAGCGAGCTCTGTGCCGTCCAGAGACCCCTTAGCGAGCTCTGTGCCGTCCAGAGACCCCTGAGCGAGGTCTGTGACGTCCAGAGCACGCAAATGAAATAGTCTCAGATTTGAAGCTCGGGGAAAGTTAATCTCCAAGAGCCCTTGGCCAGCGCTCCCTTCCCCCTCCGAGGTTGTTCCAGTCGGCGGCTAACTGAGCTTTTTAGCCCTGCCTTTGTCTCAGTCGGCTATATATACTCTCCCTCTGCTGTCACTCCTTGTTTGTTCCTTGTTGTTGCTGGTCTTGTCGTCGCTGGTCTCTCATTGCTGTTGCCTTCGTACCTCGTCTCTCCCTGGCTCCTCGTGTTTGGTTTCCCCTGATGTCTCCATGGTTCTGGTTCGTTATTTTTTTTTTGGATACCAGCCTTTGTTTACCGTTTCACCAATAAAACTGAAAGAAATCACCTCAGCCTATCTGCCCCTGCATCTGGGTCCACTGACACTACTCTGATACTGCCCAGAAATTCATTCTAAAAGGAAAACCAAACAAATTCTTACGTTCCCACTTTTGTTCCGATTAAGCTGATCAAACCTCGGGGCCTTACTGGGATTTTTCATTCAAGGGCAACATCTAAGGAAACAGTTCAGTGTTTCTACTGTTAAAAATCAGTTGCCTGCCTTCATGGTTTATTTGAGACAGTCTTCATCTTCAAACAGCTGCTAGGGACCAGTTTGACACCCATACCACACCCTGACCCCACAGCTTCATGCTACCACCACCATGTTTTAAGGTGGGGTTGATGTGCCGCGTTTCCATTATTACAATTCTGAATGACTCTATAACCTCCTTAGCGGAGGTAATCTTTTAGCTTGTGTGTATAAGATAACTTTAAAGATTATGGACAGCTTTGAACAAAGTTGTTCTTATCAAAGAACAATTAAAATGTAAAAATGATCCAAATCATGGGGAGTTTTAACTATAGCTTTATGTCACAATATGGGGGAAAATGTGCTGTTTGGCAGAGGTCTGTGCACTCACCACCAGAATCCACATCCTCCGTTACCGCTATGTCCCACTCACGTACATTGTGCCATCATGTTAACCAATGAGAACTTTTCCACATCCACCACTACTGCTCCGCACATCATCGTCCACGTACATATTCTCTCTCCTTCACAGTCAAAATACAGTGTCAAGCTATTTCTTTCTGTAGACTTTGCTTTGCACAGGCGGTTTTTAACAGAGCGGTTACGGAGGATGTGGGATTTTTGGGGTCGGAGTGCTTTTCTAGGTTATCTCATATAATCCTTATAAAAGAGAAGTTTATGACAGGACCCCAAATAAAAGCAGAGGGTGGTTAAAATAAATTCCTATTTTTCTGTATCTAAAGAAAAATACAGTTATTCATGTTGTTTTTCTATTATATTTCAACACATAAACAAACTAACAGTATAAGTATCTCAACCAAATCAAATCACAAACAGGAAATGTTTGAACTGTGTCTATATGAGAAAGCAGTTCCTCACCAGCAGCTCTGAAGGCGTTGGGCAGCTCATCCGCACCTATCACACCTGAGCCGTCTGTGTCATAGCTCTTATACACACCCTAAACAGGAAAAAGAGCAGTTGAGTCAGTTTCCTGGTTCGCTACCTAGAAAGAGGAGAAAAAAACAAGCAAAAACTTTCTAGCAGTTCTAGAAAGAAGTGACTGCTTTAACCTAAGATACACTCAGACATTTCCTGTTTGGGTTGTGGCGCATGCAAAGATCAGTCGATATGAATCAAGAGAAAGTTTAACCCAGCGTTTAGTCAAATCAGCTAATAACGTCAATATTCCTGACAACTTTGTTTTTATTCACTGTATGATTAACATGAAGCCGAGCAGAACCTACCTGCCACTTCTTTATGTTGTTCCAGAGCTGTTTGAATTCATGGAAGCCTAGTTTCCCAGTGCTGTCCGACTAAAAGAGTGTTAAGGAATGGCTCCAACCTCATCCATCACCCCAACCCTTCCTGAATACAGTTTATTGGTCCATGAAAATCATTATGTACATTAGGGGTGGAACGGTTCACAAAATCCACGATTCGGTTCGGTTCACGGTTTTGTGGTCACTGTTTTCGGTTCGGTATATGTTGATTGTTAGGAAAATCTCTAAGCTGACATGTTGGTTGTGTTGCTGTTAGCAATGCTTGCACACTGTTGCACTTTTATCCACAACTTTCTTTCCGCCGTCATTGTAGGTCATTCTAAATGCAAAGTGGTCCCATACAGCAGACCTATAAAGTGCTGCTGGCGCGTCTTCCAGCTCGCCATACCCACACAATTCTTTACAACAACTGATTTTTTTCTGCTACACCCGGCTACGCTGCTTCGCTTCTTCTTCTTGTTTACTACTGGTGGTTGGCTTTGGTCGCAGAACCGCCACCTTCTGCCTCCTTCCGCCACCTCTGGAGTGTAAACGCTTCGCCTATGATAAAAAAGGAACAGCGCATGAACCGAACCCAACACATGCGAACCGAACCTAGACGGTCAAACCGAACGGTTCGTTTTCATAAACCGTTCCATCCCTAATGTACATAGTTCAGTTGCTTTCAACGAGAAGAGAGAAAGGATACATCCATGACAGCCACCATGCTTCTGCAGGACTCTATGGAAAAACCATCCGTCTTCAGGTCTCCATCTAAGAGTTGGTTACACAAACAGGAAAATGATTCTAAGACTGATACAAGGTTCAGGTTGCATGCAGCAGAAGCAGCAAAAAACGCACATTCTGCTTAATTTTTTATGCTTGTATAAATTTAGTTCTGATGCCCAGCTTAAGTGTATTTGCTTCTCTGGCAGCACAGTGGAAAAGTGGGTCTGATGCGCGGTGGGTGGAGTTACCTTATCATTTCTTTGCCTGTAACAATGCCAGCTATATTTGTTGTGACCAGTGGGTAAAAGGTAGTTTTAGTATGTTGAGTGAGAAAGTCCACCTGAAAACTTCATCTGTGCAGTCAGGTCATCTAGATTATGATCCTGCCTTAAAATGTTATTTCGCTATTGGACCTGCACAGACCCCCACTTACCGGCAGTGGGCTGTCACTGGGAATCCCATTGAACGGCAGCCTCTGTCCCGGTCCCCTCTTCTCAGTTTTCTGCTACTGTTTGCAGCAGCTGGAAGGCCTTTTTCACATACGTAATCCAAACTGCAGGGACCAAACTAATAAAATCTAACATATAGCTGGCAGGTTTTAACATTTTAAGTTAATTTAGGCGTTATTAAACTGTTTCAGGGGGGGAGTCATGTCAATCTGCATCAGTCCTGTGTCTGTCTCCCCTCCCATCTCCCAGATCAGCTTCTCTGATTGGTTGATGACACGTCAAGCAGCACAACTCCTGCAGCTGCTGTTTCTGAAGTGCTTATGCTGCTCAAAACGTGCTGCGGGACCTTTTGCTGCGCATCAACCATTGACTTTGTATGTAAACCAGCTGCTTCTGCTGCCTCTGCTGCTTGCGGTCTGAACGTAGCATTAGGTAATGGCTGAACACTAAGGAGATACAGGGAAATAAGCTTAAACATGTCCTGGATATACACGACTTACGCTTGGTGATGATCTTGTTCAGGATGTTCATTAGCTCATTAGGGCTCACCTCCATGTCCTTGGTGATGGAGACAAAAAGGACAAGATGAGAAAAAAAAGAAAAACATGATGGTACCTTGAATCATGAGGTCACTAGAAGAAGTAGGAGAGACTCACATCTCCTGCAAGTTGCTTAAACACTCTGCGAAACTGCTTCTCCTCATCACTCTCATGCTGCTCTGCATAAACAGGCCTGCGTGGAGGAGGCTGCGGGACAGAGACACCAACAGAAATGGAAACATGGCTGAAGGTAGTGTGAAGTTGAAATTGTGAGTTCAACTTATATCTTTCTTTATAAGCAAGCAGTATATTTGTTGAAGGTCACAAGGGTGTAAGATGGCCTTGCAGAAACTTAGTTTTTTAACAGGATAAACATCTGTGCAGAAGCTGGGAACGGTCAGTATGAAATAGGTGTTTAAATAGTAACAAGCAAGAGTAATTAATGGTAAAACAGCTACTATGAAACACCTAAAGAGGTCAGTTCTGTGGAAACTATTGTATTGTGCGAGTTTCTTTTATTGTTTTAAAACCCCTTTTACGCGCGAAAGTGATCTATATGTAGAGGGGGAATGAGCCACCCCAGTAGGAGCTCACAGAGATTCTGTGTAACTGTGAGCTCTCCACTTGCAAGTGTCTAAATTAAAATGAAGCTTTGTTCCTTGCAGTGTGCTGTGTCTCAGTCTCCGATTTCTAACAAACTTTACAGTAGTCAGCCTAATTCCCCGATGATAACCACAAAAGAGGTCCACTACAGGAGTATCTGATTCCTTCTTGGACCTAAGTACATGCGTCACAACCAAAACTTAAAATCTGGAAAACACATCGGGTAACATGCCAACACTGAGATCTTTGATGCATGTTTTGGTGACCAAAAAAAAACATAAATTCCTTTAATCTTGTCTAGTGCTCAATACACCCCGTCTACTTCTGAGGTTAGGCTTGAACCTTTCCTTTTTGATAAAGCTTACAGTTAGAGAGGCTCAGGCTCTCCTAAGCTATCTATAGTTATGCCGCTATAGGCTTAGACTGCTGGAGGACATAGGGACCTTTTTTCCATCATTCTATCTCTATTCTCCCACTGTGCAGAATTTGTTCTCTAACACTATGCTCTCTGTGCTTTTTTCTCATAGTAGCTTCATCTGGTCTGCTCCTTGGTCGTTTGGTCGTGACTCCATCCTGGAGAGAAATATCAGCTTTGCTGCTGTCATCAGCACCTTTGTTTCTAGATGTTCAAGAACTGCCTGGTTTTCAGTGTAGCCCTGTTTCTCTGACTGTGACTGGCTGGATGTGCTCTCTTCATCCTCTGAAATGGGAGCTGGATAAGAGCTCTTCTGCCTGGCTGTGTGTTTCCTGTATGGGTCCGCCTGCGGAGCGAGTTGACTTTTTGTATCTCTGCTTCTATTTCTATGTCTGCTTCTGTCTCCTTGAGTCCCAGTCTGCAGATGGCCGCTCACACTGAGCCTGGTTCTGCTGGAGGTTGCTTCCTGTTAAAATTGAGTTTTTCCTCTCCACTGTTGCTACAAGCATGCTTATTGGGAGGGATTGCATTCAAGTCAATGAGTCGATGCAATCAACTGGTTTTCCATAGAGAGAAAACTTTTAATTAATTTGACTGTATGATCTGTAAAGTGCCTTAAAATGACATGTGTTGTTAATCGGTGCTATATAAATAAACTGGACTGAACCTCTGAAAAACAAACAAAAAAAAAAAAAAAACATTCTTAGCAAAAGAAGCAAATGGGAAGCACCCAGGATGGGACTGCTGTGTGCATCTTCAATGTACATGGATGATCAAATCAAGCACTTACAGGATCTGAGGGCACAAACTGATTTGGATCGATGTTGCTGCAAAGAGAGGATCAGATGGAAATGACTGCCAGAGGCACAAACGCTGCTCAGATTGACATCATGTTGACAAACTGGATTAATTCTTACCTGACAACGTCAACCAAGCCACCTACAACTTTTTTAAGTAGAAACATCTTCTGTAAACAACAGATAACAGGAAGTGAACTTAAGGCCTGGAAGACTATGAATGTGAAAACAAATGCATGACTCAAAGAACGGGTCCTATGAGGCACAGGTTTCAGACTCTTTTCACAGTCAACTGTCCTCTACCTTTTAAATGGTTCTCACAATTGCTTCAGCACACTTGAATCAAACAATCAGGTCATGGGAAAGACTTCAGATAACCAGACTTTACATTGAGGAGGTCATTTAGCCATTTGAATCAGGTTTGATAGTCCAGTGACATATCTAAATGGTAATCAGATCTCCAAGACTTGACTTTGAAACCCCAGTTTTCCTTTAAATAACACATACAATGTGAGGACTGAACGAAACCCCAGAACAAAGCGATCTAATTTTGAAGCATTTGCTTCACCGGATGCCAGGCCTACTAGTCCAACGGGTGGGGCCGGTTGTCGTTAACGAGGATTTACTTTGCCTTCTTCAGACTCAGAGCAATTAGACAGGGACGCGCCCCACGGCTCCTCCACACACTTCCTGTTATGGAAGAGGAAACTACTGAGGAGGAAAATCTCACAACTGGGACATGGCGGTGCTTAAAACAGCTATCACATCTGGAGGGTTACATGCTTTCAGTGGATGTTGGTTATAAAAAGGTAGCCCAGCTTAGTTTGTGTTTTGAATAGGTCTACTTCAACCCCGTGGGAGATTTAAGTTCTGAGTTGTACAATAGCACTTACTAATTACACACCGTGAGTTTAGAGCAGTGTTCGGACCCGAAGTAGCTAGAATACTTAGCGTTTAGCTGTGCAGACATCGTTTACCTCAGAAAACTTAACGTTGGAGTAAAAATGAACATATTAACTAAAAACAGACAAGCACGTCCTATCTACAAGTATATGTTTACGTTGTGTTACCGTGTGGCTGTAGGCCTTTAAACTGGAATGCGGCTGTCTGTCTTAACCTCCGAACAATATTAATACGGACCAGGATCAGAACAACTGACGCAGGAGCGAAGAATGTTGGAATCGGAAACCTCACAGCAACTTCCGCTTTCATCCTGTCAAAATAAAATACGGCTATGAAGAATTCCCCCTTTAACAGCAAGCCTATAAAGTAGACACGGAAAAAATATATTTCGGATGATTTTGATGACTTAATAAATTTGTAAAAATATCCATATGTCTAGAAGAATAGCTAAATGTTGTAACATTGTTTTGTTAGGTTTGTTTGTAATGAGTTGTCATAGAAGCTCTTAGCAGGAAAGGTCCCACGTTGTTCTCTGTTGTTTTTGTCCAATAGCCTCATAAAGTGCATGCTATAGGAAAACTGACTCATAGAACCAATAATGAAAAGCCCATGGAGTCTGTAAAATCTCACACAAGAAACTTGTAAAAGCTGAGCAAATTGGCGAGGACTGCCCCTGAGCTGAACCATTTATTTATTTATTTATTTTTTTTTTTGAACTACTAAGGAGCAGCTTTGCAACTACTAATTAATTCAGAGCACGTTTTAAAGTTATTCATTTCTATGGCTTGTATTCATGATGCATTCATTTGTGTGGTCTAACCCAGACCACACAAACACATCCATGAATAGCAGGAGCTGCAGAACGAAGACATGACTTGTGACAGGAAGTGGACCAAGACTCAATATGGCGTTCAACCCAGTTGGGGATTGTGACGTTCCAACCACTTAACACATCCATTACCAACATATATCTAACCTCAGACCTAAACCTAACTCCAAGCTGAGTCCAAAGCTACAGAATGTCTTTGAAATAGCCAGGACTAAGCACTGAAAAATGTGGCTAATATATTTGTGATGAGTGGTTTTTGGCGCCCCCTACTGGTTGGCCTATAAATACTGGGGAACAGCTGACAATTTTACAGAACCTGTTCGGCCCCCAATGAATGCTCCGGTCTGGCTATCTTCTTTGTAGTGTTGGAGTTGGGTATACGAGGGATTACTGGACTTTTTATTGCATTACAACTGTTGGTGAACCAGAGGGGAGGTTAACCAGAGTATTTGTTTTTCTCTACCATTCATTACAGGTAATTATATTACATTAAATGTTAGTAATTTATGTTGTCAGTTGTCAGTTATGTTTACCACTTTGTTAGAAACGGTTGTCAGTTATGTTTGTCAGTTGCCAGTTATGTTTACAGTGTCTCTTAGATTACTTGTTAGTTGTTTTTAAGATGTTTACTTTATTTTGCTTTGCTTTTAAGTTATTTAATAACTGATTTTACTTGCTGTCTGTATTTGTTTTTCTAAATTGTTTGATTTATATAGAAAAAAACAAAAACAAATTGTATTGAACTCATTTTAAATGTATATTGTATAAGAAAGAAAACTATCAAATATTATAAGAAAAGGTCCTGTGAATTTAAGTAGATTCATTGTGTATGTAAGTGTCATGATGGGCTAAGGACTTGACCCATACGCAGAACACTACTGGAGACTGAGTAAAATTTTGAACAAAGTTTATTGAGAAAC